CTCTTTCCTTGGATTCCTCCTAACTCTCTGGCTAGTTGTTCTCAGTCTTCTTTGTCATTAAAATAGGCTCTTCCACAGAGTTTCACCTTTAGACTTCTTTTCTTGACTCTCTGTATACACCCCTTAACTCTACGTTCTCTTAACCACAAACGTTTTCCACACTGAGTCGATGACTCTCAAATATGTATCTCTGGTCCAGATTTTACTCCTGTGCTTCTTATTAACATACTTAATTACACACTAGACATTAATTTGCTCAATAACTATGAAACTGGCAACTACTTCAGGCATTAACCTAAGTGTTGTATAAATGGAAGAATAAGATACTTATTCCCTGCCCTCAAACTAGTGGTGGTGACAAATGGTAAACAAATAAGTACAATAAAGTTTTAGACTTTAAGATTTAAGGTTAAGTTCAAATAGATGATAAACACTGTCAGACAATCGTAATATACATCTCCAGTAAATCTGCTTTCTCACTCTGCAAGAGACTATATCACATTTTCCCTTCTTTCCTCAAACCTTACCATCACCACTCCCTCTAACATCCGAGTTGAGTTGTATCCTCTCTTCCCTGCTCATCCCAGGTGATAACCTTGGCTCTTGCTTATTGGAGAAAATAGATGCGACCAAATGGTAAGTACCTTATATTCAATATGCATTCATCCATATCCAGCCACTTTCCCTCTCATTGCTATGCCAACCCCTCACCTACCTCAAACTACTCCTCAACTTAACCCACCTTTCTCCTACATCATCAGTTTCTCTGGCTCTACTGGATCATTCTCATTGGCATACAAATACACCTTATATCACACATCCTAAAAAAAGTTAAGTATCATCCAATTTCTCTTCTCCCTATTTACGAGAAAATTTGTGGAAAGAGCTGTCTCCATTTTCTCAACTTCTACCTTCTTTTTATCCCACCGCATCCCACATTTCATCCACTGAAATGATTATCATCAAAGTTATCAAAAATCTTCATCTCACTATATTTAACTATCTTCACCTTACTGCACCTCTCAGCATCTTAAGAGCTGACTACTCTCTTTCTCCTAAGACAATTTTTCTTAGGTTTCCATAACACCCCGACTCCCTAATATTACAATGTAAGCAGCAGGACTTTCTGTTTTATTCTAGGTATCTCCGATACCTAGACTAGTGTCTGGCACATGGTAAATGTTCAATAAATATGACTGATTTATTGTATCCTATCTCTCAAGTCTGGTACATACTAGGTGCTCAAAATTATCACTGAAAACACTAATAAAGGATCCAAAAAGCTCCATGATCTGAGGAGACTTCCAGGTTCCAGCTGCCTGTTAAGCATAAGTTATTTATTGCGGACTCATCTGTGCTACCGACTTTTAGGCCGAGGAGAAGATCCTGACGCCGGGTCCTAGGTGCTGGTGAAGCAACACAGGCTGTTAACACTGACACTAGGATAACAGACTTAAAGGAACTCTCAAAAGGGGTAGGGGCGGAAGTGTGGCTCAAGGAGCACATCCCTAAGGACCGGTCCAGGATGGAATCCCCCCTGACAGGTCAGTAACTTCTGGGTTTCCCCGCCTAGGGGACGGAGGAAGGCCAAGAATGCTCTGATTACGCCGCTGAGAAAGCCCAGCAGCGAAGTCCTCCGCCTCCTCGACAGAAGTCCCAGACACTCACGTTCGCTCTCTTGGCCGCTTGCATCGCCATCTTGGCAGGCTGATGAGGTTACCGCAGCAAACACGTGAATTCCTCCGCACTCCTCCGGAGCTCGCTCAGCTTCGAGTGCAACAAGGTGTTAGACGCAGGACATCAGCGTCCAGACCCCGCCGGAAGCTGTTCTAACACACCGGAATACCACCGTCTCACGCCGAAACGTGCTCACGTAGTCTCCCCACAGGAAAAGACTCCGGGGCAAAACGGGGCTGAGAGACTTAAGAGGCCGGAAGGTTGAAAGGCGGGGCCTGGGCTTAAGAAGGGGCGGTGTTCCGGTCGCGAAGGCCCAGAGCAGCGGAAGCCGGCAGAAGAGGGTGGAGCTTGAGGAGAGCTGTGAGAGACGGGTCTGCGCTTGGGTGAGTTGCTGGAGAGGGCGGGGACTAGAGTGGGGTCCGGGCCTGCGGGGCGCGCGCTGCTGTGCGGGGGACGCGTGGATGTGCCTGGGCCCCTGACAGTGCACGAAGACTAGCCTGCAGTGTTCTGGGTGATTGGGTCGTGGCCGACGCTGTACTCCGTACCCAGAACCCCTGGCGCTGGCTCAGCCCCCGAAGTTCAGCATCAGCTGACCGGGCCTCTTCTGTAATCCCCTCGGCGATGCCAGTCCCGACTCCCACCTCACCCCCACCCTGACGGCCACAGTCCACGCGCCACTCTTCAAGTCCACTCTTTATTTCCTTAGACCGGCTTTACACTGATCATTTGAGGCTGGGAGAGGAATAGGGGATTACAGGCGAGCCTGGTGTAGCACCCGGTCGCCTGAGTACTGTGAATTTTCTCCAAGTTTGCTCTTGGAAGACCTGAGGTAGCCTTGTCCTGTACTGCCCCTCCTCCTTCACTGGGGCAGCTCCAGGACGATTTTGCCCACATTCTTGTTAGTCTCCATGTATGCATGGGCTTCTTGGATTTCAGTTATGGGGTAGACTCTGTCCAGAACCGGCAGTAAACGTTGAGGGTTCCCCGTGGAGAAGTGGGGCAGAATTTGCTCTGTGAAAGCCTTCACCAGCATCTGTTTGTACTAAGATAAGGAAAAGGAGACCATCAGCCTGGACAGAGGCCTTACCTTGCCACTCCCCACCCTGCTTCTGCTTTCTCTGAAACTTGTTATACATCGGAAAAGTCACACAAGGGTATGTAATCCCTTCACTACCAGCATATATGTGCATGTCCCTAGATTTGTAAGCTCTGTTCTGTCCCAGATAAAGACCAAAGCTTGGAGAAAATATTAGTGTCACTGAAAGCTGAAGGGCTGTTTTTAAATAAAGACTTCAAGCAGGAGGCAGCCACAGACAGGACTTAATACAGGCTCAATTCAAAAGGGATGCTTAACCTCTGCTATCCCCCCCGCAGTTGTGAAACCCTGTTTTGAAACTCCCAAAGCGGGCACCTGCTGGAATGCCACACAGAAAAGATTTTGTGAATGTATAATCTGTTAAAGGTAGAAGCTTACTAACCTTACTTACCTAAGAGGCTTTCTTAGCACACTGAGAACAGTTCTGCCTTTGAAAACAAAGTCTTGGAACTATTAGTAGTATTTTCTAATATGGTCAATGCTTTGTTCATTGTTATAAAGTTTACATAATACATTACCCTCTTTCCAAGATGTTGAGGCCTTTATCAACCAATTTTAATTAGTTCTGTGAAATTAGGTTACCTATTTATCCACAGAGGGGCAGGTTTCTATTAATACATAGGCTCTCTAACTTAATATATGATATTACTTTCTCAGGATTATGTGAATGAATCACACTTCTATGGATAATAGTTAAATCACGTTTTCTTTTCACCCATCACTTACCTTTTTGTCCCTAGATCTTAGACTGGTGATCAGACTTCCTCTTTTAAAGAGTAGCTTTGAAAACAGAGGCCCACTGATGTCAGCACCTCCTGTCAGACCATAGAGAACCCAGCGACCATCAAGAGCCAGGCAGTTGACATTTTTCTCCCTATAGGAGCCGCCTATGCAGTCTAGAATAAGGTTGACTCCAGTGCCTTTCACATGAAACACAGATATGTGATGCTAGTCAGACACGGAAAGCTTGGTGTAAAATAAGATTACATGGTATATTTGTGGAAATATGGGTATAAATAAATACAAGTGCAAGCAGTAAATCTATAGGTTGGAAATCAAAACATTGCTTATAGAAACATGGTTGTAAATGGAGTTTAGTTGGCTAAACTCTATTATACACGTGTGATATTATACATGATCATATTTTATGATCCCTGCCACAGCAGGAGGGAAATGGGGCAGCACCATGATCTGGTATTTCCCCTGACCTCCACGTAAGTAGAGAACCCACTGGCACCCAGGGAAATAGGGGAGATCCACCCCAGGCTACAGGACAGGCTAGTCCATATCTAAGTTATCAAGTGTCTGAGCTGGGTTGCCTGAATCATGGCTTTGCTAGCTTTGTTTTCATCTCTCCTTTTTGACTCATGTGGAACAGTGGAAGGGGATGAGCCAAACATGCAGATTCAGTTTCAGAATATAGAGGCATACACATCTACTCACCCATTTAGGGAGCTATCTACCCAGGCCTACTCTGACCAGCTCCAAACTGGTTTCTGCTCCATGCCTCCTGTTAATTCACTGCAGAGTGGCTGGTTGGGAAAAAGAGGTCCTGAATAATTCCAGGCCAACTCTGTGTGATTATCCACTTTCTAAAAAGTGTATGAATCATATCACTTACAAGAATGAACAGGAAAATCATCTTAGTCCTAAATACTGCCTGCCTGTCTCCAGTGGTCAAACACCAGAGTACTAGAATTTGGCCTGGGCAGTTGTTGTGCTTTTAGCAGAGGGAAGACAGATCCAGAGGCAACTCTGAGGCTGGTGAGGATTTTATTTAATCATCTCTGAAACTCCTGCTCAAATGCAGAAGCTTTATTTAACTTTGCTGGATTT